AGTTTTCATGTATTTTGTTTTGTGAAAAGTTTGACTTCTTTGATCTCGGCGCATGAAAAGCGCGCACGCGCGCACTGAGGACCCGTTTCCGGTTGGCCACACTGGACTCCGGATCGGGCGCCCAACGACCGAAATTTCCACAAGGCCAGGGCGTTGGGCGGGGCCCACCCGGCCTCAGCCCACTGACACACAGACACACACACGCAGAGTTATAATAAAGCACGATTCTTTTGGAGCAAGCGGCTTGCTTTCAATATGTCCCCGCTAAACTGAGTAAGTATTAAGAGGCGGATTGGCACGGCGCCCTGCGACCCGGGTCGGGCCGGGTCAGAGGTCAGATGAGAAGGGGGTGGGGGGCACGCGTGGGAGAGCGGTCGGATCCGTGACCAGCGCATTACGCGGGAGGCTGCTACTGACTGAGTGAGCCGCGGAGCACTTGCGGAGCGGCACGGGAAGGCTCGTCGTCGCGGAGGAAATTAAATTATCACCTCTACTAATTGTCCACATCTCTGCCGCTCTGGCACGCGACCAGGCCGACGACGCCTTCCCCGGCTCCACATGGCGCGCCTGGGGACACACGAGCTTCCCGGTTCAACCACCTACACAAAGTCCCTTCCCAAAAAACAAATAAAATAGTAATTTAAAAAAAAAGTCAACTGAAAAAAATATTTTGCCACTTTATTTTGTCAGATTCTGTAGTTCTTGATGTTGCAGAAGAGCGCCCTTCTCTCAGGGTATGAGGTTCGATCTGTACGACACACCTCCGAGTGGCAGGGCGCCTTCGGGATCGTCCAGAAAGTACGTCCGTCATTTGCCGTTAACCCGCTAACCTGCCAGGTTCAGCGTGTGCAAGCAGTGCAAGCTCCCCTCGTAGCGCCTGATGTGTAGGCAGCATATTGCTTGCAGTGCATCGCTGTACCGCGGGGCGGCCTACCCTGAGTCTCGCAGGCGTTAAGCTCCACAATAATTATTTTCTGGAAACGGACGTACTTTTAGGGACAATCCCTTTGGCAGCATCCGGACTTTCGTGAAATATTCTTGTTTCACACACGTCACACACGTTGTGGCGTATGAACGTCTTAGAAGAGAGAGTGACACTGCTATTGGACCTAATACGATACGGACAACCTTTACGCACTGTCAATTCATTTTTGCACAAAGATGCAACTTTTGACTCTGCGCGAACGAAATTAAATACAAATGTTCATTTGACAAATCTGCCATATTGGCACTTCCGAGATTTGCGAACCGACAAGGATGTGCTCAAAATTGTGTCTATGAATAAGTCGAGTGAAACGTTTGGTCAGTTGTGCTCGTCACGAGACACTAAAGACACTTCAAATCTCCCGCGGCTGCATGCGCGTCGCGCTCCTCTCCAGACCTTCCAGAGACCCTCCAGCGCCGAGGCTCCGGCCGCTCTAGGTCACATGGCCGGGCATTGGCATCGCCTTGACTCGGCGGTCGGCTCCGGTGGCTGACCTTCGGTCGCCTTCGGGTGCCTTCAGTCCGCCTTCGGGCGGCTTCGGGACGCCTCCGCTGCCCGCGACGGTAACGCCGGGGATAATTTATTGGAGCGACGCACTGCGCTCATACGGCCGGACGAGGAGCGGGAGAGTGCACGACTGGGCTGCCGGCTCCAAGCACGCCCGGAGGGCACCTGCGGAGGATGAGAAATAACGACGAACGCAAGGAATGTTGTGCCTTCTCCTCATTATTCACTCTTGCTTTTATTTGAACCAGGTGGCTGCGCGGCGGGCGTGGTCAGCAGGTAAAACCCTTGGCCTTGGGCGGCCCTTTCGCCCCACAGCCGCCTCCCCCTCTTCCTCCTCCTGCTGATGCTACTCTTGTTCGTCCCACTCCCCCCCGCCGGCACGCCGCCGGTGAAGGACGCCGCCTTGGCCAGGTTGTCGGGGGGACGGACTCGGCACATCCTCTCCTCTCAGCCACACGCCCGCCGCGCCGCGCAGCGACTCAACCCCTTTTAACTCACACTCGCGAAAGGTAATTGAACACCCACGAATTCGCTTTTAAAAGCACGTCCTTGACCCCTGATTTCTCAAGAACGTCTGCATCAGGGCAATGCAATTTTCATTTGCACCAATGCAATTTGAACAAGACAATGTTCTCGGTGTACTAACTCTTAGTAAACCCACACAGCTCAGCGGAGTAAAACGTTCCAAAGAGAGAGAACAGCCTTTTTGAGCGAAAACTGCTTTATATGCGTACCCGGCCGAGTTACCTAGTACTTGGGCCGCGCTGTACTTTTAACGCGGCCTCACTTTCCTTCCGTCACCTCGTAAGTAATAACCGACCAGCAGGCCCGGCCGGCCGTCCGCTCAATGCCATTGTTGTTGTTGTTATTGACGGAAGTGCAGGGAGTCGGGCCGGGCCGGGCCGCCCCCCACACCTGCCCAGTGCGCAAGTCACCTCCTTGTGCCGTACCGAGAGCTCGCGGGCTTGTAGGCGGGCGGGCGGGCGTGTGTGAGTGCTCTTTGCACCCACCTCAGCACCCGGCTGCCCTCGGGAGATACGATACGCAAAGTATACTCAAAGCTCGCCGCCGAGTGCAGAGGCCCGGATGGCACGGCGGAGGCCTCCCGGCGCAACGGCGCACCCAAACACCATGAGCTCGCTTATCACTAATCGCCGGGCTTACAGCAGCGGCGCGTGAGGCAAATGCTCGGGCAAATGCTACAAAATGACGCTTCAGGTGAATCCAAGGACACGAACAAAACTAAGCACGAATTGCAAAAATGTGTGCATGCTTCCGCGAGCAAAGTTGTATAGTTGGAAGAGTTGGTAGTTGGCATGGGCAGGCACCCCCAAGTTTGGGATGGTGACCACAGAACGTCCGCGGGTGCGTATGTGCGCGGGAGGGGGGGAGGGCTTCACTTCCGGGGAGCGCGGCGCGCGGCTGTGCCCATACGTGGTGTCCTGCGACGTCCGCAGTGGGCCGCCTGGCAGCGGCGGCAGCGCTGGCTGCTGGGAGGAAGGACGCTCGGCTCGCGCCGGCTGCGCTGGGGTCGCCACCTGCGGGGTACGACCGGCCGGGGTGGGGCGGGGAGGGGTTGGGTGAGGGCTGAGGCGGGTGGGGCGTGAGGCTACGCGACGACGGGGAGTCCAGCAGGGCGTGGCCGGCGGGGGACTCGGCGACGCAATGGGATCAGCGGCGACCGCGGCGTCGCTCCGGGACCACGCGCTCCGCGGGGGGACACCGGAAGTTGTGAAGTCCTGAGGAGGCGACTACAAATGCCCCGCCACGCCTCGCCCCGCCCCGCCACGCCCTGCCCCGCCCCGCCAGCACTACTAGTGGACGCTCGGCTCGGCGCCGGCCAGGAGCAGGCGGGAGGGGAGGGAGGCGACCTCGAACGCGGTCGCCAAGTTCAAGTTTAATACTGCTCCTGCCTGCCGGCCGGGGCTGGGCTCGCCGCCGCACCGGCTCCGCCAGGCTCCGCCGGGCTCCGCCGGCCTGGACAACAAGACCGACCAGCGGACCGGACTGGGTCCCGAGCCTGGGCCCCGGGCTCCACTCGCTGTCGGCGAGCTTGTTGCCGGTGCCGACCCGCCGACCCAGCGGAGGTCAGGGCCGGGCCGCCTGCCGCTGGCTGTTGCTGCGGGTGGGGCGGCGCGGCGGAGTGCAGGAGCGGCAGTGGGCCGGAGCGCCCGGCGGGTAGGCCACCGCCGGGAGGGTCGCGCGCGCCTGCGTCACGGGACTGTAGCTCTGCCAGGGGCCCGGCCGGCCGGCGAGGCGTGCGGCGCGGCCGCGCAGCCCAGCGCCAAGGACGGCACGAGGCACGACCCGAGGAAGACGGAAGAGCTCGGCGGCGAAGTACGAGCAGGAGCGCCCGCGGCCCGGGGCGCGCTCACATGAGTGCAGCGCCCCATCCCCCGGGACTTACGTGAGTCCTGAGCGTAATAAACGACACAGCTTCGCGCCTCTTTGACAGAGAATCCATGCACCTCGTCGCCACTCTCATTTCTCCACATCTCTCAACGTGTGGAGAGACGATATGATTTACGATGTAAAACTAGGCCTGAAACAAATTCGAGAGGGAGGTGCGTGGTCACATCTAGTTGTCTATCGGTTCCCGCCCGCTATCGGCGCGGCGGCCGCGTTGGTTGGGGCAGGTCGCGGCGCGGCGTGGTCCTCCGCGAGGAGGGGCGGGCCCGGGGCGGCGGAGGGGGCCGGCGCGGGGGCCGGCGGGGGCTGCCGGCGTGCCGGTGGTGGGGGGCGGTAGAAAAGGCGGCTGCCGGTTAGGTAACGCCAGTCAACCGCAGCTCGCACGCCGTGTCGCACCGTGCGCCGCGCAGGCAGGTCAAACACTCGCGCGAACCTCCCCGCCAACGCGCCAGCGCCACCCGCGAGTGCGATGCGCCAGTGAGTGAGAACGGAGAGCGAAGCAGAAGCAGGAGCGCGTTCTGATTTCGTAGCCGCCTCAGCCCCGATGGAGACGGACCAGATCCTGTCCAGGACGTCGCTCAAGCCCACGGCGCCCGAGTTCGTGCCTTCGTCGGCGCCGACAGCGACGGCACCCGCCGGCACAATGGACGCCGTCAAGGAGGTCCCGGTGCCCGACAGCCCCGACGACTCGGACGACGACGTGCATGTGGTGCTGCGCCCCACCGGCGAGGTGCCCTTCAGGCCGCCGCCGATGCAGCACCGTGACACCACCGACAGCCTCGCGTCCACGGATAGCGAGCGCTCCGTGGACAGCCCCGTGCGTGACAAGGACGACAGCGCCAACCTGGGCGACCGTTCAGACTCGGGCTCCGAGGCGGGGGTGAGCGACGCCGAGGACCGTAAGGTCGTCACAGAGTCCAACAAGAACTCGGCTGCCAACGCCGACGACGACCTTCCACCGTTCGACCCTCCGGACGAAGAACTGTCGCGCCGCATTGTGGACCAGGTCGAGTTTTACTTCTCAGACGTGAACATAACCAAAGACGCGTTTCTGCTGAAGCACGTGAAGCGCAACAAGGAGGGCTACGTCAGCCTCAAGCTCATCTCGAGCTTCAAGAGAGTCAAGCACATTGCTCGGGACTGGCGCGTGGTGGCATTCGCCCTCAAGCAGTCCACAAAGCTGGAGATCAACGAAGCCGGCACCAAGCTGCGGCGCGTTGACCCACTGCCCGCGTACGACCAGACCACGCCGTCACGCACTGTGGTGGCCATCAACCTGCCCCACGACAAGCCCACCATCGAGAGCGTGGCCGAGCTGTTCCGCTGCTGCGGGGACATCGCCCTCGTGCGCATCCTCCGCCCGGGCAACCCCATCCCGGCGGACGTGCGCGCCTTCGTGACCAAGCACCCCGAGATGCACGGCGTGGTGTCCGCGCTCGTCGAGTTCGTCCGCACCGAGTCGGCGCTCACCGCCGTGGCCAAGCGCGACTGGGACTGGCGCTACTCCGCCGGCGACCTGAGCGGCATGCGCGTCCTCGAGCTGAACGCGCCGCCCGCGGCCGCGCCGCCCGCCAAGAAGCGCGCCGCCAACAAGAAGAACATCCTCGGCAAGGAACCGCAGTCGGAGTACGCGTCCGGCTCCGAGGCAGAGGGCGAGCACCAGCGCTATATCCGCTCGCTGCAGCAGCGCAGAGGCTCCTCGCCCCTCGACTGTCAGCCCGGCAAGCACTGGCTGCAGCGCCGGTACTCGCGGGACTCGGGCTGCGAGGACGGCTACTACGGCTACCACCGCGCGCCCAGCTCGGGCTCGCTGTACGGCTCGGGCTCCGAGTACTCGCGCAGCCGCTCCAACTCGGCGGCCTCGTTCGACCTGCCGGTGGGCACGGCGCTGGGCCCGCGCCGCATGTCGGCCGGCTGGGACTCGGGCTCCGAGTCGTGCTGCTCAGGCCGGTCCTCGCGCTCCAACAGCGCCGCCTTCATCCTGGACGGCGTCCACGGCCACGGCATCACCGCACTGCGCCGCTGCTCCGGCAAGGACTCGGACTCGGACGGCTACGGCTCCTTCCGGTCCAGGAAGAGCTCGGGCGGCTCGGACCTCAGCAGCCGCAGGGACAGCGGCGCGTCCACGGGGCCCTGCTACCTGGGCGGGCGGCGTGGCAGCGGCGCCTCGACGGGCAGCGGCGTGCTCGAGGAGGAGGTGTTCCTGGGCCGCCGCGGCTCCGGCCACCACCAGGGCGGCCACCACCTGGAGCACCAGCTGCTGCGGCGCATGGCGGCGCTCGGCCTGGGCGGCGAGCACCACGGTGGTCACGGTGCCCACGGCCACCACCACCACCACGACTGCTGCTCGTGCGCCTGCTCGCGGCCGCCGCCGCCGCTTCACGACCACCACCACGTGCCGCCCTCCCCGGGCGGCTTCGGACCGCGGCGCAACTCCGGCGACCTCTCCAGGAAGCCGGCCGTCCTCTTCGCGGCTGCCGCAGCCGCGGCGGCCTCCGCCTCGCAGCCGTCTGTCGTCGGCGAGCACGCCGCTGTCCGGAGGCTGTCGGGCGCCGGCGTCCCCGAGAACATCATGCGGTTGCCACGGGGACCTGACGGCGGCCGCGGCTTCACCCGCGAGAACGACATCCCGGAGGTGTGCTAGTGTATACCCTGTACTGCCGGGGAGGGCCAGTTGCCACGCCGGCCTCCCCTCCCCGACGAGGCCGGTGTCGCCCTCGTCCTGTAACGACTCCAAACTGTAAGGTACGGGAGCCCTGGCGTCCCTGAACGTCGCGTCCGCCCCGCCGGTACCAACATCGCCTGAAATTTATCGCACGCGCAGTGCCGCCAACTGTCCATCCGTGAAATATGGCGTAGGCGTCGCTCTCTCCCGTGCGGACGGGACGGCCGCTGATGACGAGCGAAGGACCTTCACGCGAGGAGTGTTGTGTTGTTACTCGATCAGTAGTACAGTAACGCGTTTAGCAGTAAGTCCAGCCTGTATAGTCAGTATAGTGCCAATGGACGCAGCTCGGCGAGGAGGTGCGGCGGCCTTCCTGGCCGCGGTCTCCTCGGGCTGCGCGGCCACTGGAGAGTGACGGCGCCGGGGTGGGCTTTCCCTCCATTCGGACCGCTTAACCCGCGAAGGTCTCTGAATTAGGAAAGCAAGGAGGGTCGCGGACGACGACGTCCTTAGAGGCGGAAGGGGGGGG